TCAAGAAAGACCAGATTATTAAAGGAGCTTACATTTAAAAAGTCACATGTGGACAAACATTGGAGAAAATACCATATTGATGTTAAATGAGTGGTTCAGCATTCACAGATTTATTCAAATTCAAAAGGGCACATTCTGATGCATTCAGGTGAAAAACGATATATATGTAATGAGTGTGGCTCAAAATTTTCAAAGTTTAAACTTAACAACTGATATGAAGACATATACTGGAGAGAGACCATATCCATGTGAAATCTGTGGTTCAGCATTTACTTCCAAATCAAATTTAAAAACACACATGCGAATACATACTGGTGAAAAACCATTTTCATGTGAAGTATGTGGCTCAGCATTTACACAAAAGGGATCTTTGAAAACACACATGCGAACACATACTGGGGAGAGATCATATTCCTATAAAAAACGTAATTCTGCTGGTCACATACAGAAACCTAGGGAAAAGCCGTATTCATGTGAAGTATGTAGCTCAAGCTTTTCAGAGGTTTCAAGTTTAAAACGTCACATGCGGATACATACTGGTGAAAAACCGTATTCATGTGAAGTATGTGGTTCAGCATTTTCTGATTGCTCAAGTTTCCGAAGACATATACGAACACACACTGGTGAAAAGCCATATGCATGTGAATTATGTCCCTCAAAGTTTTCAGAGTGTTCAAAGCTAAAAACTCACATGCGAACTCATACAGGTGAGAAACCATATACTTGTGAAGTATGTGGTTATGCTTTTTCACAGAACTCAAATTTAACAAGCCACATGCGAACACATACTGGTGAGAGGCCATATCCATGTGAAGTATGTGGTTTAGCTTTTGCTAAAAGTTCAATCTTAAACAAACATAGACGGGTACATGCTGATGAAGGATCATATTCATGTGGAGTGTGTGGCTTAACATTTTCACGGTCATCACGATTGAAAATACACATGCGGAAACATGAGAAAAGATATTCATGTGGAATGTGTAATACAGCATTTTTTAAGCCGTCATCTTTAAATAAACATATGAAGGTGCATACTGGTGAGCAACTTTATACATGTGAAATATGTGATTCAGCATTTCCTAACAATTCGGTTTTAAAAAAACATAAACAAGCGCATAGTAATGATAAACCCTATTCATGTGAAATATGTGGTTCAGCATTTTTTAAGCGCTCATATTTAAGAAAACATATCCGAATACATTCTGACGAAAAGCCACACTCATGTGAAATCTGTAACTTCAAGTTTAGAGAGAGTTCAAGGTTAAGAATGCACATGCGAACCCATACTGGTGAGAAACCATATTCATGTGAAGTATGTGATTCAGCATTTACTAATAGCACAAGTTTGAAAAAACATGTACGAGTACATACTGGTGAGAAGCCATATTCATGTGAAGTGTGTAACTCAAGATTTGCAAATAATTCAACATTAAAAATTCACAGGCAAACACATAATGAAGACATCTGAATACAGATTTGTGAAAAACCATATGTGAAATGTGTTACTCAAAGTTTTTCGTGTTCAAATTTAAAAGTCACATGCAAACAGATACTGTTGAGGAAACATTCATGAGAAGTGTGTAGCTCAATATTTTCACAGAATTCAGCATTATAATCTCACATATGTTGGAGAGAACCCCTGTTCATGTAGAGTATGTGGCTCAACATTTTCAAAGAGTTCAAGTTTTAAAACTCATAAATATGCATAATTTTGGGGGGACTGTTTTCTGGGAATTTGCATATTCTCTTAAAAAAGCATACACAAATCAATACTATTTCTATATATCTCTGAGATGAGGTATTATGATTACTTACATTATTTAAACTGTTATCTTCATCTTTATTGCTATATTCACAATGTTTCAGCCATTGTATGCTCTAGCCTTCTTCAGGTGATTGGAATTTCAAACCGAACTCTTTATTTCATCCATCGGGGTAGATTATTCTAGTTCCATGTGCCATGCCTCTTCTGGATGTCTCAGTTATTGGCCCAGTGGATAAAAAAAATAGAAAGAAATACAAAGAGTTGTGAGTTCAATACCAGGCCACAGCACTGGTGAACCAAACTTAGAGAGTTGAGTTAAAGGGAAATAACTGAAACATTTGGAAGAGGCATGGCACGTGGAGCTAGAATAATCTATCCCGGTGGTAGGCCAGAGCATACAATGGCCGAAACGTTGTGAATATGGCAATGAAGATCAGATAACAGTCTGAATAATGTTAAAAATCAATACTACATAGTAACTTTACATGAACATACACACTAGGTAAAAGCAATTCATGTGAAGTGTGGGATTCAGCATTTCTCTAGAGAACCTACTTCTAGAGACATGTTAAACATACTCTGATGCAAAACTGTCTGTGAATGGGTTAGCATTTTTAGGGAGTTTAATTTAAAAAGTCACAGGCGGGCAGGCACTGAAGAAAAAAACATGCTCTTAAGGTCATGTTCTTTTATATGTCTTGAACTTTTAGGACATTGCTGCTCATGACCTTCCAAAACATTCTATCCTTTGTAGCTCTTACTAAGCTTTGTCTTTTTGTTGTCCCTCCCAGTTCCTTTTCTGCCATCCAAATACACAAGCATATCAGGTTGGCTGCTCACTATTTATCCTCTACCCTTCCTGCCTTCAATATGTCCTGTTAGTGTTGAATTCTCCAACCTATCTTTCCTCATTATGTGCTCTAGAAATTTCTTCTGTCTCTTTCTTTCAAAGTTTGTCTTTTCTTTTTTTTTTTTTTTTTTTTTTTTACTTCCATTTTCCTTGAAACTTTGTTTGGGACTAAACGAATGACCAATGACATTCTCAGCATCCTTCTGTTGCCTCGAGTTTCTTCTTAGTCTGTGAGATTATCGAACATTCACTTCCATGGGAGACTGACACTAGATAACTGTTTAGTATACTTTCCTATGTTTGTAGTCAAATTTTCCTGTTCCTTAATACTTTGCTGAATTTTTGGAAGTTTTCTTTTACTATTCAAAAATGCCGATGGAATTTGGTATCACGTTTTCTGCCTTCTCTTAAAACATTTCCTAGATATTTAAATTTTTGTACTTTCTTGATATTATCTGAAATTTCAGTTTCCAACTTGGGCTGGTCCTCTGACTGGCAACAGTACATTCTGTTTTCAAGGTGAGGTTCAATCAAATTTTCAATTTCTCAGGAGGCTTGTGAGCTATATTGTTTAGGATTTTTGCTACAATCAGTTTTATTTAAAAGAAAACTGTTAAAAACAAAATTAAGCACAAAACCAAAGTCCTGTGTCCATGTGAAATGTGTGGATATATATATTTTCAAAGTTGAAAATTAAAGTGTCATAGAAATGCTTAAAAATGATATTCAACAATGCTTTCTTTTGGTTACTTCACTATTTACACCAATTTGCAAAAAGATTTTAAATGTTAATTACAAAACTCAATAGAGTGAAAGGAAAGGTAGAATAAGCAAATATATATTTAAAATGTTATTGCTTTGTCTACGCAGTGGAGTTAAAATGGATTGTATTAGACATTTCATTGTAAATGATTTCTAACTTGAACTCCTTGTTTTAAAATTTTCTCCTGATTGACATAAAATATTTTGGATGGTTTGAACAGGAAAGAAAACAATGAAATTTTTGTTTATATTTCCAAGATGAGGTATTGTAACTATTTACACTATTTATATTGTTCAGACTGTTGTCTTCATCTTTATTGCTATATTCACATTTCAGCTGTTGTATGCTTTGACCTTCTTCAGGTGATATACATTGGATAAAAGCATTGGTCAAGTAATCCAAAAAGTGACTTGACACAAAGAGTTGTGAGTTCAATACCTGGCCACAGCAGAGGGAACAAAAACTTGGAGAGTTGAGTTACTGAAGGGAATTAACTGAAACAGATACCCAAAAGGGCATGGCATGTGGAATTAGAACAATCTACCCCAGTAGACTAAATAAAGGGTTCAGTTAGAAATTCCAACATATATCACCTGAAGAAGGTCAGTGTACAATAGCTGAAATGTGAATATGACAAAAAAGACTAGAACAACAATCCAAACAATAATTAAGTATTTGTTTTTTTGGGTTTTTTCTGACATGTAGATTATTTCAATATATTCTAATTTCTAAAAGAGTTGTCTTATTGGATCGAGTTGAAAAAGTTTGGAAGCGATAAAATAAATTGAAAATAACATTGTTTCATTTATGCATCAAAGATTGTAAGATTTACATTAGACATGTCATTGAAAACTGTTGCTAATTTTTTTGCTTTATGGCCTGAGTGATACCAGTATTGTAGATGTTTTGTTTAACCAATAAAAAAAAAAATTCAGTTTTTGTTATATTCAATGATGTTAAAAAAGAAATTGATAGTGACTACTTCATTTGCAACAAAAATATTAAACACTTTATTGATTAGATTGTTAATTTTATATTCACAATATTCTAAAAACTTATACAATTGTATTAAAACTTATGCAATGCAATATTTGTTATTTACCAATGTATAAAGAAATACATATAAAAACAATTCTTTATTTGTATATTTATAAACATTTATTAAAATATGTGAATCAACTATAAGGAAATCATTATTTACCATTTTTATAAAGTTCAAATTGATTGGCAATTAGCCAATGTTTCACCAACCGTTCCAATGATATAATAAATAAATAATAATTATAATAATAGTGCCAATAAACAATCTAATAGTGTTTATTATTTTTGTTGTTGATTCTCAAGATCAACAAAAATGTATAAATTCACTTTCTTATGTTTACCTTTTCCTTACAATTCTGATCATTGCTTTTTTAAAACAGTAAAGATTGCCGAAGAGTGAAGGTAGTTAAAATAATATCAGTGTCATTGGGGGGACTGTCTTTTTGACACTCCTTTGTTTTCAGACCAAGTGATTTTTTTTTCTTCTTCTGCTAATGTCCTGTTTGCTTGCATTCTATCAGACTCCTTGGAGAATAATGAATATCAACAATTAGAAAAGGTATCTAAATACAAATTAGGCTGACAGTCACATCAGGTTGAAACACCAGTTTTCATACAATCACTGAAGTTAAGCAACATCAAACCTGATCAGTACCTAGATGGGTGACCACTTGGGAATACTAGGTGCTGTATGCTTGGATGTCTGGGTGGTTTGGTTTACGGAACCTGTTTTGTATGCTAATTAAGTCTTTTGCTCCATAAGGAGAATAGACCATCACCAATATTCTGCTAATAAACTTGGCTCTACTTAAGTTAAGCAACATCAAGTCTGGTCAGTACCTTGGTGAGTGACCACTTGGGAACACCAGGTGCTGTAAGTTTAAATGTGCAAGTGGTGTAATGGATAATGACTCAGAATTTTCATTAGGCATATCATTGAAAACTTTTGCTGATATAATCGTTTTAAAACCTCCTTGCTTAAGACTTGAGTGTCACCAATATTGAAGATGTTTTCTTTATCTAATAAAAATATTAATTTTCAGCTTGTATCTGCTATAATCAGTGATGTTACAAAAACATTTGTATAGTGACCACCTAATTAAGAGCTTCTGATGGAAAAGATTGGGGCTTCTTATTTGCAATATTTTATTGATGATCAAACTACAGTTCCATTTTTTTATAATTGCCTTCTCTAAAAAAAACTCCCAATAATGAATATTGACACTTGCTTTCTGCTAACCTCTTTAGTTTTTGCTTCTGATATGAAAAATAACATTTTTGGTATGTATTTCTCAAACTATTCCACCTGCTGTGAGAGGGATGATCACAAGAAATTGTCGAAAGAAGAAAAGTCATTTATTTTATACAATTTTGTTAAGCTCTTAAAATGTTTACATGTTAAATAGAATTCTGATTCACATTATTGTGGGTATTTTACAAAACTTGCTGGAAGATTGTGTTGCACCAAAATTCCAAATGTTAAAATAACTAATTTCCTTGAAAATCAGCTTTTAAAATCCTAAGACTGAACAGTACGAACTTGTCCGCATGGGAAAGTCAAAATAAAAAGAAATACACTATTTAGAGAAACGAGATGAAGATATGACATTTTAGAAAGACAGCCAAAAGATAAAAGATTAAAAACTGATTTACTAATTTTCCCAATAGTGTTTATGATCTTCTAATAAAAAAAAGTCAATATTAACCTTTATCACACTGCAGGTGACAATAGTCGCCATAGAATTCTCTCCTTTATTACTATAGGCAACTTCTGTTGCCTGAGACGGTTGCTATGAATAAACTTGCCAACTGTTATTTCCAATATTTTAAGCTGGAAGTTGCTTACTACTGCTTGGGAACAAGACTAAACTTCCATTTTCCAATACCATTTTGAATTCTTTTAGACTCTACATGAGGTGTAACATCGATTAAACCCACATGAATTTTTCGTGATTTTTGTAAACAAAAATGGCCATGTCAATATCCAACAAAGCCTTTATTCAAAAGTTTTTCTTTGATTAACATCCTGAAGTAGATATTGACAGAAAAATGGCCAAAGATGATAACCCTGCTAGTGACATGGAGGAAAGTGACGATGACCACTAGCAGCTACTATCATCCATGACTGAGTAATTTTATAGAAGCTACTGGCGACCATCAATATATCTGGTAGCCTTTCTGAAAGTGAATTATTCTGTCCTTTTATAAACAACGAAATAATAACTCTATTCGTCAATGAGACAAATATGAATCAGGTGAAAGAACGAGCAAACAAATGTTAGTGTCTTCTCATGTAAACATGAGGAAACCCGACACGTTTTGCCAAAATGAAAGCCTTTTTAGCAACTTTGCTTCTTATTGCACTCCCAGAACTTCACAAGGAGTAATAAAAATTAAAATACATTGAATTATTTATATATTTTTTAATGTATTTTTTTATTTTGCATTTTTTTTATTTCATGTTTCAATTTTTTGTTTCCAACATCAAAACATGCATGCAAAACAATGCATTACATAATAATATTACTCATTGATTCTTTTATTAGTGTACAAAAATTAAAATATATATGCACAATACAAAGAAAGTTATAACAATTTTAAAACAGTAGGTGTTCATGTTTTTACACCTTCAAAGAAAATACAGTGGCAGGGGGAACAATTCTAGAAAGAAATTAGCTTGGTAATTGTTAAGTACACAGATTTGTAATACCTAAGGATTATAAAATGTATTTCTAAACATGAAAAATCTTGATGCTTTTTTAGCTTTAATTCAAAGGTAAAGGAATAAATTTACTATGACTAGTAAGCAATGATTGAGACATTTGAAAACAAAAGTTTGTTTTCCATTTTAAAAGTTTTGTAAAAAATAGTTTTTTCAAAGGTTATTTGAGGAAAATTAGGAAATTTAAAGTTTACTTAATCAAATTTGAAACAGACATTACTTACTTTTTAGCATGTGAAACATTGACCACAGTGACTTCTTTGTCAGGTGTTGATTGATGGTATTGACAGGTAAGGTCAAGAGAACTCATTGGGTGGATGAACAGAAGGGATATAAATTTTAAGTAAACTTATTTAACTACTCAATAATTTTTACAAATTAATATATTTCAAGTAATATTTTGTTGATTTTTAAGTGAATGAATTTCATTAAAATGTCTTTCATTGCAAAAAAGATGCTAAAATTTCCTTATGTTATTTTATAGTCTATCTGCTGATGCAAGAAAAATGATTTCTAATAAAAATTTTGTATGTTTTAAAAAGCATGAAAAAATTTACTAAAACAATCAAAATCACTTTGGACTTTCCTCTTAATAATAGCATAAAGATTTTGATGGTTAAAACTTAGTTTTCAGCAAGTTTGGGGCACTTTTTCATCATAGTATGCCTTTTTTTTTTTTTTTTTTTTTTTTTTTTTTTTTTGCAAATTTATGAACATCCCTATATTAGAATCACTTTACCAAATGTAATTTGAAACAAAAAATGATTGATAGTTTCTTTGTGTCTACACAAGACGTTAAGTTCTACAGAAAGATTTTAGCCCCAAAACTTGGCAATCTTCAGCTACTTTTTATTAGTTTCCTTATTTTACTTTAATTTATGACATTTAAAGAGCTTAGAATTCTTTTTAATGTTGTCCTGTAGATTTAACTCTGTGATTAAAACACTGATAAGTCATGAGTTCAAATCCAGACAATTCCATCTGTTAATTTATTTTATTAAAAATTTTTCTCAATAAATTCTTTTAATCCTTTGCCATACTATATCTCTAATTAATGCCTGTTCACCTTCTCACCTGGTGCCCATTTTAAGTTTTTCTAAACCTTTTCTCAATCTCCCTGGAGGATTTAATACTACATTTTACATTCCAATGCATGAAGACAATGTTAACCATAAAATGTACGTCTGAATCCACTATCTTCAAATTCAAGCAGCAATTTTAACAATTTCATGAAAAACTTATTTCATCAAACAATTCATAGAATTATTGTGGAATATTGATCACATTTAAGAAATTATCAAATTAGGTATACTAGTTGATTTGTGGTGGAGTAATAGTGGCTCGGATTGAGAAATTGGAGAGCTGAGTTCAAATTCCAGTTGAATCTATTACATTCACTTACGTACTAATGCCCTTGGGAAAGGTATAATTCCTCTCCCCAGCTATGGCTAAATAGCAGGATAGACTGGGTTCTATAGCCTATTACTTACATTTGGCCAAGATCCAACCCAGTATGGACCCTCTGTTTTACCTCAGGTTTCAGGAAAGATAGACAGGTGGGTGCTTTTTATTTTACCTGATCCCACTGATAAGTCATGAGTTCAAATCTAGGCAATTCCAGCTGTTAATTCATTTTATCTCTATCTATAAAAGGCAGGATGTGTGTGTGTGTGTGTGTGTGTGTGTGTGTGTGTGTATTGACTGCACAGCTGCAATTTTCGACAGATTTGCACCAAAATTTACATGCACATGCTCCAAGATAGTGGGAAGGCCAGGAATGACTTTGCATTTCCCAACTCCCATCAATAGTGGAAATAAACTGTTTTTTCCTGCTTCTACAGCAGTTTTCATGTAGTTTGCGGCCATTTTGTACTGGCCAGATTGAAAGCCAATAGCTGGCTGCCACAAATAAGCAGGAAGTTTCTATTGGCCAGCATGAGAGCCAACAGCTGACTGACATGCATGCAAAAAAAATCGATAGCTGCATTCGTCACAAGTGGGGAAAAATTTAAATCTGCATGGAACTTTACTCCAATTGGTTCATTCGCTTGCTTAAACTCAACGTTGATTCTGATTCCACAGAACTGGGTTGGGTGTGAAAAAGTATTTGTTGTTAACATTCTTTTTTCATTCAATTTTTCCAGTTACGAGTCCTTTTTAAAGCTGATCGTTTTGTGTTCATTTTGTTTAGTTCTTTTTTTTACAGTAACAGATTTAATGTTTAGTATAGAGCTTAGAAAAATTTGCAGTGTGAGATAGGCAAGAAGTAAGGCATGTAGCAACATCAGCATGGAAAAGGGCACTCCTTTAAAAAAGGCAAGGAAGGGCAAAAATATTTTAAGTCAACTGATAGCGATTGCTGTATGAGTCGTACAATTTTTGAATCAAGCACAGGCAACGCCGGGCCATGCTACTAGTTATAATTAAATGTCATTTGCGATGAAATCTTTTAATCTTTAATTCATATCACACTGCAGTGCATCAAGAAAGATCAGGTATTAAAATGACAATGTTAACCATAAAATGTACATCTAATCCACTGAGTATCTTCAAATTCAAGAATATTTTTCTATCAATTCCATGAAGACTTATTTCATCAAACAATTCATAGAAGAATTTTAATACAATACCCTGACTTATCCAGCAAATATAACTGTGCTGGGGTAGTACATATGCAATATCAGTCTCATTTAAGGAATTATCAAATTAGGTATCACACACTTTCCTATTCCTAATTTGCACTGCATAAATAGGTCAAACTATTGAAATTTCATTCAAGTTCAACTGGTGAAATCTTGCTTATTTCTAAGGCTACGTTGATAAAAACTTTCTTGTCCTTGGAGTTGTTTGTCCTTCTGCATATCAAAGTAGTCTGATATTAAAGAAAGCTGGACACTTGTCAATTCAATGGGCTTAAGATTGGATTTGAAGTTGTCTTTCACAAGAAAAAATATCCAAGCTGAAAACTTTAG